TGTCAGAATGGCTATCATCAATAAATCAAAAAACAAGTGTTGGTGAGGTTATGGAGAAAAGGGAGCCCTCACATACTGTTGGTGGGATTGCAAATTGGTACAGACACTATGAAAAACAATCTGGAGGTTCCTCAAAACATTAAAAATGGATCTATCTTTTGACTCAGTAATTGCACTTCTGGGTATTTATCAAAAGAAAACCAGAACAATAATTCATTAAAACCTATGTATCCCTATGTTTATGGCAGCATAATAGCCAATATATGGAAGTAACCTAAATGCTCATCAACAGACAACTGGATAAAGAAATTATGGTTCATATATACAATGAAATATTACTCAGCCATAACAAAATGAAATCCAACCATTTGCAACGACATGGATAGACCTAGAGGTTATTATGCTGAGTAAAATGTCAGACAGAGAAAGATAAATACCATATGATTTCACTTATATGCGGAATCTAAGGAACAAAAGGAACAAACTAATCAAAAACAGACTCAGAAAGATAGAGGACAACCTGGCGAAGGTAGGAGGGGAAGGGAGTGGGGGATAGGAAAGTAGTAAAGGGTTAAAGAAGTACAAATTAGTAGTTGATAGATGATCATGGGGATGGGGAGCACGGCATAGGAAATGCAGTTGGCAGTAATGTAATGGCTATGTGCAGAGCCAGAGGGAAGAGAGAGTAATCAGGGACATCGTTCCACAAATGGTAAATGTCTAACCTGTATGGTATATTTGAAACTAATAATAAAATAAAATAAAAATAGTTAAAATAGAAAATTTTGTTATATATATTTTACTATATTTTTTAAAAAATTTAACTGCAACAAAAATAAAATAAGTTTAATTTAGAACAAGCTAGATATTCTTGCACACCTAAGACTGTCTTTGTTGTTAAAAAGATTGATGAGCAATTCTTAGGGAGGCCTCAAAGATTAGCAGCAAAACTAGACTCTGCATCTGATGAAATGCAATTGAAGTAAAAAGGGACTTTCTTAAAATTATGGTTCAACTTTCTTTAATGTTATATCCTTCTACTCATGTATAGTTAAAAATATGAGGATTCCCATAGTCCCACAATTTGGGAAATACTGACCTAAAGTATTCCCCAGTAATATGTCACAATCCAGGAGCTACAATCCTTACATCCTTGCCAAAAGGTTATTTCTTAATTAGTACAGGATATTCTGCAGTGAGTAAAGACAAGAGCTTTGCTGGATTAAAGCTCCCTCTTTCACAATGACATCTGATTTCTAAAAAATCATTTCATAGCCCTAATTACAGTATTAAATAATTAAACACATTTGAGCAAAGGACAACAAAGGACATTTATAAGATTGGCTCTTCTAGGATTAATTTTGGTATATCCTCAAAAATTGTGTGTGTTTGTGTGTATGAGATAGGTCAAAGAAAAACAAGTAAATATTTACTGGTGATATGTGTCAAATTTGATAAAGCCTAGTGGTATTCAACAACATTAGTACTATAATACACAAAATTTTTAGAGTTAGAAAAAATCTTACAGATAAAAATAAGAAATTCAGTTGTAAGGTATGGCTTACTACATAAAATTACTTTTTTAAAGGATCATAGGCTTCACAAGACCTTAAATGATAACTTAGTATGAAATACCCATTAAGCCTCATTATTTCTAATAAATCAAATCTATTCCAACGTTCCTTACGTTGTCCACAGTAAGTTCCGATATATCCCTTCTGGCACTGGCAATGGTCATCTGCACAGGTCCCACCATTCATACATCTAACGCTGCACTGCTGAACTGCAAAGAACAAGAAATGTGAAAATATCAATCACTAAAATTGTAGTATCTGTAAGAGTTACAAAACTATACTAAATATCCAATTCAATAAAAATATATTCTACAAAAGTAAATGTTATGACTCAGGCATTATCTATATTTGTTGTACGTGCACACGTGACAACATATGTTACTGAGTGCATGTTTTAAAAAGATTACACTTTCCGTATTAAACATATGTTACAACATATGTTACTGAGTGCATGTTTTAAAAAGATTACACTTTCCGTATTAAAGGAAATAAATATAAAGTGACTAGTGGCATAGCTTCTAAGATGCAGGAGACTAGGGTATCCATTCAGAATTCGGGGTTGAATGCCTGCCAGATGAGCTCAGTGCTCTGCTGTCGCAGTGGACTTGGTATCTGACACTCTCATGGAGCTTGTATTCTCATAGGTAGACCAACAAAACACAAGTAAACAAATACCACAATGTCATTATAGATCGTGATACGTTCTCTGAAGAAAACTATGTTGTGGAGAATAGTCTAGAGCCAAGGAGGAATCTAGACACAGGAGCCAGACAAGACCACTCTGATGCAACATTAAACTTAGTTCTGGAGGACTGGAATGAGCCAGGCATGAGAAGTACCACGGAGGAACCTCACAGGGAGAGGACTCAGCAAACCAAAAGACATTAGGATGGTATAGGTCTGAAAGATTTACATGATTATACAGAGGCAAGTAGGGAAGAGAAAATCTTAGAAAAGCAGGTAGTGGCCAGCTAGATAATGCAAGGCCTCCTTACCATGAAAGGGTTTGCAATATGTCCCAAATGCTACAGGGGGTCACCGAAATGATATAAACAAGACAATGAAGTGATACGATTTGTTATTTTAAAAAGATTTTTCTAGCTGCTTTGCAGAGAATTGATTTGAAGAGGGCAAGCCTAGAAGCTGGGGAACCCATCAGGGGGTTACTGCAATAGTCCAGGTGAGAGATGAAGGTGGCTTAAATCACATAGTAGCAATGGTGATAGAAATGAGAAAATGGATTTGAGATATATTTTCCAGTAGAACCTGCAGGTCTTGTTAAAAAGAGTTGATGGGAGAAAAAGAGAAGCATGTGCTTTAGTACAAGGGTGGATGGCAGTGCCATTTGCTGAGGCAAGAAAGAAGTGGACTGTAGTCAGCAATGAATTAAGTTTCATGCAACCAAGTTTCAGAGACATTCAGGTGGAGAAGTCAAACAGGAATTGGAACACATGAATGTGAAGCTGGGGGTTAATTATTATGAGTCAGCAACATCTTGGTAGAAGTTGAAGACTTATATGTAAATGAATTCACCCAGAGAGGGTCAACACTTGGGAATACCAAACATTGAATGGCAGGCTAATGAAGAAGATACAGAAAAGAGACTAAAAAACAATAACCAAGGAAAGGAGGATTGCAAGCCATCGATATTATGTAAGTGAAGGGAAAGGAACAAATTTCAAGAAGATAGTGATTAACGGTGACTAATAGTGATTAGTGCTTTAGGGAGGTGGAGCAGGATGAGGACTGAAAGAAATAAAAAAGTTCCTCATGGAAAGGGGAGTGAGTATTACTCAAGGCGAAATGAATTCATGGAGTCCCTACTAAATTAAATACCATAAACTGGGCCACTGAATGTTCAGCTGCCTAGGTAGAGAAATGAAGGTTGAATGGTAAAATTTCTCTAGCATTGAGTTTTTTGCCAAGGGCATATATGAGAAAAATATGAGAACAGGATAAATGAAGGTAAGGGCAAGGGTTTCTTCCAGGTAGCCAGAAAGGGAGGTTCAGAAAAGGAATAGAGGAAATTTGCTAAACAGGGTGGTCAAGAAAGTCTCAATGAATTTTATAGATTTTAAAATGTGAAAATGACAGATTATTTTCAAAGAAAGTGAAACTAGTTTTAATCAGAAGTTTCATCAGAAGACCACAACATTTCTTGCATGAATCTTGAATCTTACATTCCTGAGTCAGAAAGGTTAAAAGTATAACAACTTCATACTAGTTAAGGCAGACTTAAAGATTTATTTGAGCAATTAAATAAATAATATCTGCTTCCTCTTTGTTGTAATGTTAGCTTAAACACTGGCCTAAAAGATTAATCTTGAACCTTAAAGATGCAATACTTTTTAATTGAGTCATGAATAACATCATCATAGTCCACTGTTACAGTGATCTTATAGAGTTGTTGGGAGTTAATATGTGTAAAGTAAAATAAGTTAATATATGTAAAGCATATGGTCAATACACAATAAATATTTGTTTTCTTCCCAATCTTCCCTTCCCTTGCCTTTAGTTAAGCCACAAAACAGGATATGAGTAGCAAGAATTAAGCAAAGGCAATAAATAGAGCCTAGTGTTTGAGTCTTTAAGTTTAGGCACAGAATACCCGGATTCAAATCTATGTTACCTTGGGCAAGTTACTTATGTATGCCTCAATCTCCTTCTCTGTAAAACAGGGTAACAGTAGTATCTCAAAGTGGTCATATGAGGATTAAATAAATGATATAGGCAAACACTTAAAACAGTACCTGGCACATTGCGAAAATCCAGGAAGCTATTATTCACAAAGAATTACTTCTCTACTGAATCCAGGCTCTTTTGCTGCATAGATGCATAGCTTTTGGACCGGAATTAAATTGTTTTTAATGAAAATCATTACCCCATTCCCCTTAGTTGTTGGTGGCAACAACTAAATCACCGAAGATTTTTACTCCAAAGATCAATACAGACCTACTTAGTGAGGAAAATAATCATGGATTTACATTCTCATTGAAAAGGACATTTAGAATTTATTCGAATGCTTAAGGACAAGGCAGTAAATAAGGTCACATATGAAACATACTTGATTTTGATCCACAAGTCGGTGATATTTGGCCACTGGAACAAGTACACATATTAGGACGGGAACAAAATCCATCTCCACAACTATTTCTACAAATTGCTGTAGGAGCACAATAGGGAAGCAAATGAATAATTAGGTAATAAACCATAGTTTACAACACAAGAAAGCTATAGTTAAAAACAATAAACCTGAAAAACTAAGATATAAAATGTGTGATATATAATGTCTAATTTCAGATTTGCAAGGAAATTACCCATTGCAGACATGAGAACAAGTCTCACAAGTATCCCTATGATAATGTGCAAACAAATCAAGCGATTTCAAGTTCCAAAATCCTAATTCTTTAACTCTCCAATGAATACAGATCATTTTTTTTTTCCATTCAAGAAAGAGTTTATGTACAGAATTCACCCCGAGAAGACAGTCTTGGTCCTTGGAAGTCGGGAGGGTTGAGGAAACCAAGAGGTCCTGCATATGTTCAAAAACCACAGCCCACTCTGTAAAGGACCTTCACAGGAAACAGAGAATGTGAAATTGGCTGAGCCAGAGACTCCAGGCCCTAAAGACTTGGCAAAGCCCCAGGGGTTCAATGCACATTCCTTCCCGGCTGGTATCTGACCTGCCCCATCATCAATCTTTGTTGCCCTTAATAATTCCCTCTCTCCTTCCTCCAGCTTTTCTTCTCCCATATTTCTCCACAACCTAGCCTATTCCCGCTGCTCAGAAAAGCTGCTGCGACAATTTGATGGAGGGAGAGTCAAAGACTCCCGCAGCTGTAACCTCCAAGGTATGAGGGTCATCACAGCAAAGAATGTTAGGCTCACTGACACAGCACATACCACGGATCCTAAAAATCCATTAGCTAAGTACATACAAATGGGAAGGGTCTCCCATATTTAGTTAGTTCATTTAGAAACTGAAAGATTTATCTCTATACCCACAATTGAATCTTCTCTTTGTGCACAAAAGTTATTTGCCTTAATGCTCCATGACTGGATGCATGAAGACAAGAAAAGGAGTGTCTGGGAACATCTCTGAAACTAGCTGCAAACATTTATGCAAATATACATATGTCTTGTGCTAGGGAGGGATCCCACGTCTTTCAAAGAGATGTGAGACACCCAATAATGTTAAGAGTGTGTTCTGTAGAAGTGAACTAACTCAGTAATACTTTTCCTTCTACAAACTGCCTTTCAACATCCATATAAGATGGTCAGCACTTCCATTACTACTCTCTATAATTGAAAATGTCATAGATCATGGCACGAAGATAGAAAACTGATTTTAGCCAAGAACATGGTTCCTACCATGGAGCTGACTATTCTTAAAATGTACTAAAGTTTCTGATCACCGATGATTGTCCAATGACAAATGTTCACTAAAATGTTTTTTTTATTTCAAAGCCTCCTCATCCCCAGTAGGTAGACATTTAAGTCTAGGCTTAGGTGATATACAAAGTGCTCCTACCCAGGTCCTAAACCCAAAGAAGATCTGGTGGGCTGGAGATTGGTTATCCTCAGTCAGATCCTTGTCAGGGCCACAGGCCTGCATGCCATATCTATAAGCCAGTGAGAAGTGAGAGTGCTTAGGCCCTCTCCCTTACACTCATCTCACGACTATGGTATGCCTCACCAAAATATCTGTCCCTCCCACAACCACACAAAAACAATGAGACCCAAAACACCAGAGGGAGAGGGAGAAAAGAACTAGGTGTTGGGGGCTTCAGTGATGCTGGGAGAAGATGCATGGCAGTAAGAGTATGTGGTATGCAAGAGATCTGAGGTTGAGTTCTTGTTCTGATACTGACCTCACTGCAAGCTCTGGGGAAATAAAAACCCCACAGCTTCTCTGAGTTTAGTTTTCTCATTGGTAAATAAAACAAAGAGATTACATTCAAGTGTTCTGATGTCTCTTCAGGTCTCAAACGCTATGAATCTGGGCCAACCCCTTCCCACTGTTATTCCACTGATCAAAATACACTTCATAGCATAATTTCACAATAAATAAATTAATAAGCAAACTTTTCCATTGCTTCATGTTCTAAGGAGATTTTTAAAAAATAAATGGAAAGTGAGAAAGTCAATTCCATCCTTCAGAAACAAATATTTGGAAGCTTGGAAGTACTGTAGTGGTCTTTACGGGCCACAATTAAGAACAATAACGACAAAACACAGACTTAAATCAAAATGCATTAGGTTTCCAGTAGTTTGAGAAATACATATTTCTTTTAATATCTTCTCTTCATGAAGCCTGATCAAGGTCAATCATTAAAATTCTAGAAGTTGCTCATTTTAATATCTTTCTATAAAGAAATAACGCTGATGGACAAATGTATGAGAAAATTAATCTTTGGTCTTCATTTTCTATTCCTTAGAAAATTTTACTTATTTTCTTTTTGTGAGTTGCCTCAGAGCTTTTCTTTAGTGAAATGGTGGAAAATAATAAATACAAGAAATAACGTATTATCTACAGAAAATCCTGGTATCTAAATTCTTGATTTTTAAGTTTATAGTGGTTTCAATTTGGTTATTATCTCCATATATTATAATTATAAATGTTAAAATAATTAGATTACTAAATTTAATGCAGAATATTAAAAGTTAAAATTTAGGTGAGATCCATACAAGAGCTTAGAAAGGCATTACATTCTCCCTCTATTTTGTGCACTATTTTATACTCTTGGGTACTTAAAATATTTTTAAATGTGCTAATAAATATTTTTGTAGCTATCTCTTGACACAAGTGTAGCAAATTTTTCTTGGAGATATAAAGCTCATTTCAAGTCTATGCTTTTTATAGATTAATGATACATGTACATTCCAATGTATCTCATACGCACCCAAATATTTCAAGTAGAAGAAATACAGGCTATAATATTGACTGTTTCTCTGAGATTTCCAAAACTAATCTTCTAAACAAGTAAAGAGCACAATGTTATGCAGAGACCAAAAGTATCTAAAGCTGACACTCAGAGGGATATATGTATATATAAATATATAAATATATACGTATATAAATATATATACGTATATATTTATACTGTAAATATTCTGGAAGGCTCTGTTCTCTGGAATTCCCATTCCACACTGATCCAATAAAATCTGACTTTACAGATTTTCAACACGTACCATAAACCAATCATTTCTCCTCGGCTGCTCTCCAACTCAATAATGGCAGTCACATTCATTACATTTAGTGAGTCAGACTTTCCGCAGTGCCTAAGTCACTCCCGGCTAGTGTGGCAGGTGTGTGGTGAGTGACGTTAGCTGTTTCAGGATTCTAGAAACCATGTAAGTTTTAAAACAGGCTGGTAATGCCCTACTGGCTTGAAAGAGTAAATGCACCCTCCATAAATGCCTCACATATATGACTTCTGTGTTGGAGAGAAAAGAATGCAATACTCCTTTCTTTCTTTTTAATAAAAGCAAAGGCTTATAATCAGAGGGTTTACTTAAAATATTTATGAATCACCATGAAGAACAGTTGTTGTTTCCTATTTTGCCTCATTATTGGAGATTATGGGATTTTTAGGATAAAAAAAATAAGAAACTAGTCTTCACAACACTTGAGATTTCATTCTTTTTCAAAAACTGTACTGAAAAAAGATTAAGGGTCTATCTCAAACCCACAAAACCAAAAAATATAGAGTCAGAGATGCCACTACATCCTTATTATCCCTTGGCTAGTGTGGCTTGCCCTTTTTCTCTGTTCACAGTCGCATAATTATCTTTTCCCTGGAGAACATCAAGGTCGATCTAAAGTCAAGATTGGCCCTAAATGAATATGCTGTCTATGATACCTGGCTCTCCTCCCGACAACAGAAATGTGGCTGTGCTATAGAAACACATGGGAGAAGGCCAGTTACACTTCAACTCACAAATTCACAGGCATGTGAAATTAGACATCCCACAGTCCATTCCTGTGAGGCTGATAACTAATGACTTTTCTAATTAGAACTTGGAGAGCTGAGTATACCCTTTGGAAACTGAATAATCAAAACTTTTAAAGTCAGATATGCAGAACTTCTGAAGTTCTAAGACTCACACTTTGGAAATCTATTGTGGACTATGAGACTTTTGGTCCGCAAATCCAACATTTAAATGTCTTCCAAAAAATAAAAAAAAAAAGTAAAGCCATTTGGAAGAGTTCTCATTTTTAAAAATTTTGTTAACCTAGGCCAAATCTAAATCCGTGAGAGTGCTCCTATCATATTTAAGTTATGTGGCTGTTGAGATGAAACCAGAAATAAAAAAGTGGTCGTGTACAAAAGCCTAAGAAAGTTTGATCTTCCTAAGGCCTAAATCTCATGCAAAGTCAAAAGCCAGTTAATTTACATAACCACATTGTGGTCTTATCTGGACTCTTAAGAAAAAGTGGTTCTGAGTTATCTAGGGAATTGCTGTACTGCCCATCAGTTTGTATTAATAGACATAGAAAGATAAACCTTCCAAGTATCTTTGAAACCTTTATCATTATTACCCTTCAACAGATTCTAGATGTGAAGTCTAAACTGATGGAGACCGGCTGCTTTTTCCCCCACCATTCAAACGGGACCACGTCCTAATCATCACCACTATCTGGCCACTGTTTTCTAAATGCAACTGTGTGTGCGAAGGACTGAATGCAAGAGGTCGGACCCTGAGATGGGGCTAAGAGTGCTGCCCCAAGCTGCGATCCCAGCCGAGCACTCACGGACAATGCATTGGTTTCCTCCAGGGAGCGTCTTCCATCCTGGACAGCAGTAGGAGTGGAACCTCGATCCGCACACGTTGGGCCTGCGATGGACAAACAAGGTCATACACGCGTAGGGACGTGGGGGTACAGTAACACATGAGCGGTTTTCGTAAGCAAAGCAATGAGAGGATAGATTTGGGGACAACAAAACAAAACTGCACTTCAAATGTTTGGGGCGCAGACGTGGAAATAAATGTTTGGGGCTAGACACTGGAATGAGGGAGGGTCAGAGACGTCTAAACATTGCCTTTCATCTGCCTTCCGTTGCTGCCTTTTTAAAGGGCAAAAAGAAACATAGAAACATATAATTTGCGACTATTCTAGCCTCCGGATGCAGAGAACAAAGGGAACATTCCTTTTCAAAAATCTTTAACCTTGTCCCCTGATCCATCCCTCCTGATCAACTATTACTTTGGCCCCGAAGTGTCAAGAGGGACGCGTCGAAAGGTGGAGCGCTCGGGTTAGTGATTAGAGTGAACTGTAAACCCCGCACACGTCCTCAAACAAAAGGCTCGGGAGCGGCGCCCCCGACGGTGGGGAGCAGGCAGGCTCCGCCAGCCCGGGCGCGGGGTGGACTCAGGCCAGCCTTCCGCCCGACATTCGGAACCTGTTCCCGCACCGCGGGCTCGGCATACGCTCTGCGATCCGCACCCGGGGGCCGCGGACCCACCCGCCGCCAAAACTCCTAAGGGAGGGCTCTCTGCCGGCGGACTGCCGAGGAAAAGAGGGAGGCGCTCCTCGGAGTCTTCGGCGTCTCCAGGTGGAGGGGGCCGCAGCTTTAGCCGCCCGAACGAGGTTCAGGAAGGGGGTAGGGTGGAAAGCTGCCAAGCCGAGGTTCCCCAGATGCGGCCTGCCCACCTACCCTCGGAGCACGTCCTGCTGTCCTCGCCTGCGGACGCGGCTGGCCGCCGCGGCGCCCTCCTCCCGGTACTCGGGCACCGCAAACCCGCCTTCAGAGCCTGCTGCCGCGGGCCGAACCTGTTGCGGCGGCGGCTGGGGCCGGGGCGGCTTGGGCGGCGGAGGCTGGGGCTGGCCGGCGGTGCCCTGCGCCCAGATCGCCACGCAGCCCAGCCACACGAAGTAGGGCTGGAGACACAGCCGCCGCCGTCTCCCCATCGCGGGCGCCGAGAGCGCGCGGACCGTGGTCCGCGGAGAGGAAACACTCAAAGACAAAATCCGCGCGGCCGGAAAAAAGTCAGGGTCTAACAAACCCTTCGTCGGCTCCCGAGATTCCCTTGGGCTCGGGCTCCCAGCTCTAACGGGAGCCCCGGACCGAGCGCCAGCCCACTGGCTGACGGCGGGGCGCGGGATCTAGCGCAACGGGCGGCGAGGCGCG